CCCCACGCAAATACACATTGTGAAAGTTACAATGAAGGCTTGAGGCATACAGGTGTAAGCAGGGGTAAGGTGCTATTTTTATAGGTGGTGTATGGACCTCACATAGGGGGGTCTGGGGGCAAGCTCCCCCGGGAAGATTTATTTTAAAATATTGAAGTTAAAAGCATCAATCTGGTGCACTTTGAGAGCAAAAAAAAGAGATCTATGGATACATCTCTCAACACCCATATGAAACAGAACTGTAAACAGATTTACTTTTTCTCTATGGATATTTTACAAATCACCCTTTTAATAGTATTTCATACCTGTTTTTCATTTATTCTCTTATTTTTTTATAACTATAATGATCATATAAACGTGTGCCTCGGAAATAATTGTTTACATTAATGATGACCAAAACATTTGAGATCCACAGAGATAACTTTGACTAAAGTTAACTATCTAAACACTCAGAGAGTCCTTTAGTTCACTGAGCCTCTCAGTCTGACAGGAGAGGACTCTCCTCCACTTTGTTGTTGAAAAAACTCTTTATATCCGTGAGCGTAGCTCGCTAAGACCAGAAGCTAACAACTACGATCTCCGGTACCGGTACGCTCTCTCGCTCGTGCACGCACACAAAATGGCTCGTTCCACACACAGACAGAGAGCTTTAATGACACACAGAGACCCAGACGTAATAGTACTGTATCATATTATTTTCAAATCAATAATTTTACAAATTATGAATATTTTTATTTATTTATTTTAATAACCATTTTTCCTCCTGGTCTCTCGCGCCCCCCCTGTCATGCCTCTGCGCCCCCCAGGGGGGGGCGCGCCCCACACTTTGGGAACCACTGTGTTAGAGTATTTCCACATTATGATGACTACCTTTTACTGTCCACTGGTAAAGCCTAAATAAGTAAAGATGTTAATGACCTGTTGTAAAAACTAGGTTCATTCATATTGTATTGACCTGATCACATTGAGTTAACTGTGTTCTGTTTGACCCTGAAGCTAGCATCACTAGACACCAGTCATACAGAGATTAAAATCAGGAACTCGTGTTTCCACTATGAGGAATAATCAAGCAATCTTAAAATCATAAAGTAACCATATGGCTTACCACAAGACTTGCTGTGTGTGTCATGCTTTGTAAGGCTAAAAAACAGGACTCAGATTTGCAGAGCTTGTTGTACGTGCACTTGACAGCAGACTGATATTTTCATCCCTGTGTTTCAAGACTAAACATCCTCAACCAAAGCACCACTGATTCAAGTCAGTGACAACAACTATTTTACTAGGATAACGGATTAGCAAGAAAACCCTATGGCAAACTCAGAAGCCAGTCCTGTTGCACTGCTATGAAACTGAGGGGCACACAGTATGCTTAACATGTGTATGGACATATTTGTCTCAAATCAGTCCTGAAATCTTGTCATCCAGACTAAACGTCCTCAACCCGAAGCACCGCACAACACACAAGCAAATTCCTTACAGGGCAGAAGAAAACGTCTCTCTGTGCACTCTGCTAAGCCTTGGAGAGGCTGTGTCCTTACAGTACGTGCCTCTGACACACTCACAACGGGCTAACTGCTGTGTGTGTGTGTGTGTGTGTGTGTGTGTGTGTGTGTGTGTGTGTGTGAGTGTGTGTGTGTGTGTGTGTGTGTGAGTAAGTGTCTTCTCCATCATGGCCACATGTAATTATTAGAAGTCACACTCAAATGAAAATTGCTTACACACAGCAGTGGTTAAGCAGGTTAACCAGAGAAGAAGCATGACATAGTTTCACTATGAGTAGTTAGAAGTTTCAATTATCCAGACACAGAATTTCTCAAATAGAGCAGCTAATGTTTTTAGACACACAATAGCTGCTGACTCCATTAGAGGCAGACAGGGATTCTTCAACGGGTCTGTGACGGGCCTCCATCAACAATTTGTCAATTTCTCTGTTAACACAAACCAACTGATAACAGCAACCTGTTAAAAAACTATTTTCATCTGCTCAGCAAAAAGTGACCCAATTTATTTTTGTTATAGTTTCAGTTTGTAACAAATGACATAGAACAGCTGCTGTTTCTTATTTCCTGTTCACCGAATCTGGATTACTAAATTAGCAAAAGATCCAGCTGGAGTCCCAGAACTATGTTATGTGTATAAACTGTTTTTAAATCATTCAAATTAAGCTCCATTTGTGAATATGCACCAAATCACAGCCAACATGACCAAAGACTGCTTTATTACCTGAGGTGCAAACATCAACAGAAGTAAAGGAGGGCAAAGGTAAACAAAAAATCCAAAGAAATGTCATACTGTGCATAAATATTCAATTGTAATGACCCCAAAATTGTGTAAAAGCCACAAGATTTAAGACAATGGGGGGACCATTTGCAAACAGTTAACATTAGGGACTATCCAAAGTCATCCATTTGGCCTCTTACCAAATATGACTGAATTGGCTTTATTTAAAGTCTAAATTGTCACTGATAGTCCTACTATCTAATTTACAAAGGTGATACCAAAACAATAACAAAGGAAACTTGAATACTTCCCTTATGGGTCAATATTACTAACAAGTCGTGAGCACAGGCTTGACAGTAGACTCAGTAAACAACAGTATGACGAATGATAGCAGAAACGTAAACAAACTCCATTAAGATGGCCAACATATTCAATCAAGATATAGGCAATGTCTTGCCTCGATAATGATATGGTGAAACAGTATGTTTTCTGGTAATATAATGGATAAATAGTCTATAGAAAACCAAATGATGAAGCCTATGCCCTTTAAACTCATGTATGATTATGACTGAGCATTTTCTAATTTTGAGGACCTCAGTGTAAAACGTAAAAGCTTTAGGTTAAAAAACAATAAATGAACATAGGCCTGCCCTATATCACGATAGAAACATACAAAACAGCCAATTTTATCAATATCGTCATGTTTCCCAGCCATATCATCAATCATCTGTCACCATCTCATGTCCACATGCAAGCAGATACATTTAACGGTTTAAAAGCAAAGCAAATAAGACTATTTTACCTTGGGTGACGATGCCACGTTGAATATGGAGATGATTTCATCGTAATCCAGCAAAATCCAGTCGATAAAACAAGTGTTTATCCATGATGGCGGGTGACGCGTCACAATCCAGTGTGTTGTAAACAGTCTCTCCACATAATTGGAAGATTGGTAATGACCCTCAGGAGGAAAACATTTCTTGTGCAACCTTCCAGTACATCCATAATGGAAGAACAGGTGGAATTCCTTGATTTTAAACTGAGCATTTTGAATAGGTCACTCATTTCATTTGTTGGAAGAAAAGCAGAGTTGTTGCGGGCTTCATGGTGGCAGTTCCTTCCTACTCCAGCTGTTAGCTTTATTGAGGCTTGTTTCGAGCACTTTTTTCCCTCCTGTAACCGTCGTTTCTTTAGACAACTTGCAGTGGTTATTTGCTCTGAAGTGTTTGAAATATAGCTTAGTAGCTGACATTTTTATTTTTTGCCCCAAACTCTGAATAAACTCCGAATTTTGAAACGGCGCACCGCACATGGCCGCACCGTTTAGCGCATTCAAACTTTCCAGACGCATTGGTCAAAGGTTACCCCCGTCAACAATGAACTTCCAGACATTTGATTGGCCATAATACAGTCGACGTCACTAGAACACTTTTTTCCCCCAACTTTATTGAACAATTATTCCAATGCATCAGAAAAAGATGCATAAACATCAGTGTTCATTATAATAATAAAAAAAATTGTAAATTATGAACAGAAAACAGAGAATAATAAAAACTCAGTACATATGTGTGATAAAACCGAGTTTATTCCACTGATATTCAAGACTTTTCAGATTATAGGCTATCAATAACAGAAAACAAACCACAGTATACATAAAAACAAACTGAGAAAAAAAAAACACCTTCAGGAAGGCCCTGGTGGCTCCATGTGATGCTAAAGTCATTGAAGTACAATTGCAAGAACAGGTAAAACAACACGCCTCTATCATCATTTTTGTTTGATTAGCTATCCTGTTAAACCTCTGATCCCTATCCGTCACTTTATTGACTTTACAAACACACAGTTACAGATGATAAAACCATCACATCCCAAGGTTCACTTCTCTTCTGGAGGTTTCCATCATATTACTGTAGATCATCTGCTATATGCAATAGAGCTGTAGATAATTATTTCCAGGACTTCTTATTAATGTTGCATTCAAGAAAGTGAGGGGAAATTTAAATATACAGATCTAAGAAAACTCATGAGAACTGATTGTTTATTAAAATTATGTTTCCAGGGTTAAGCTGGGAAAAATCATAAAACCAAATTACTTAAATCTTATACTTAATTAGCAATACCATATTGTAGAAAAAATGTATACAGTATACAAATATTAGCATTGAAATATGTATTTGAATACAACAATTTAGAGTACTCATAATGGACTTATGAAGTCCATCATAAGTGTTCATCACTTTCGTATAGCTGGTAGAGGCAGAGCTCATTTGAATTGCGTGGCTCCACCTATATGTAGAAGTTACGAGAAAGTAAAGACAAACAGCTTCTGTCTAGTGTTTAACCGCACAGACAATTATGTCCTTAGAGTTCCCTACAATTTCATCTTTATTTAATATTTTGTATTTGCAGAGTAACTAAAACTATCTTCTAAATGAAGTGTAAAGTAAACTATTATCCGTTTACATGCAGTGGAGTAAGTATAAAGTAGCATACAATGGAAGAACCCTATACCTATAGTTCAAGTTCTGAAAAATGTTACTTAATTACAGAATGCTCTACAGATTTACAGAGTAAATGTTTACCTTTTTAGTTAAATCCCACCACTGCAGACAATTTGGTTTTTGCAGAATGCGCCACACTTGTGTCTGGACCTCTGGACGATTGGATTTCCAGATAATAGCTCCTGATGTTTGAATGTTTTTAAATAGCTTACAGCGCCCCCTACAGGCAGTCTTTGCAATAGAAAGTGACGTCACCCATTCAGCTGCAGCAGGCAAGTCGAGGCAAACACCGACTGGATCTCTGGACAGGCGATGCACGACACACACACACACACACACACACAAACACACACACCGACACACACCGAGACAACCTGCGGGGCGGACACACACATAATCCGGGGGACCTCCACACATCAAGTCCTATTCACCCGACCAGTGCATTATACCGGTGTGTTTTGGAGCCGGTATTTGTCAGACGCACCAAGTGACAGATCCACGGACGGTGTCGCTGCAGGTTTCAGGACAATGACTCTGGAGGATGAGCTGACGAAAGCCGCAGCGAACGGGAACAAGGCAACTGTGGATAATCTGCTGCGGGCAGGAGCGCAGGTTAACGGGGTGAACAGTTTGGGACACACCGCTCTGCAGGTCAGTGCACCGGAGCCGCGGCATCCCCCGATACAAGACAATATTCGCACTTCGAAATATTCATGAATTGAGTTGACCTCGGTGACGTATTTATAGCACCAACTTCTTTAACAAGGCTATTTGACGTTGTTTGTTAATGGCATATTTGACAAAGCAACGCACCTAAAATTGACGCGCAGTTGCGAGAGTTTTAATGATGAAACTGTTTATTTATTGAGGAAATACACATAGGCTATCAACTATCAAGCTTGTATTTTTAATCAAGCTAAATGAAACGAAACTAGAAGTTAGTGTGGAGCCTTTTAATGGTTGCACGATTTACAATTTTGAATTTCGTAACTGTTGTTTTTATTGCATTGCGTAGTTTACGGTTAGCTTGGTCTAGATCTTTACGGTTCAGTTTAAAGAATAACAAATTCCCTTCTTTAAAGTGCCTTTACACTCTAAAAACAGCTGGGTTAAAATTTACCAGAATTGGGTATAATATATATATATATATAATATATATATATATATTATAGTAAATGCACTAGTTATTCATGACTCCCTCCCAAACTCCTAAAACAGTAAACCTCATGTGGGATTTAGGGCCCAGTTTTTAATCTCTGAAGCATGTTACCACAACACATGAGCAGTATTAACATCATAACACCTGACATTGAAAACCAGCATAATAGTAGTATTGTTTTTCTAGCCTTAAGTCTAAAGCTCTGAACATTCAGACTAAGTGCATTCGTGTTGTAACTCGAGATCCATAGGATATCATTAATTGTAAACATTACAGAAAAAGGAAATTGTTTTTAGGATATAACTAAAAGGCATCGTCTCAAATCAGCAGCAGCAGATTTTATTTTGCATTTTGTTGTATTGGGCTGTTAAACTATCTGTTTATACATTCATTTCAAGCTCTTAAGGCGAGGTCGTTTTAATTGGGTGAAGAATGGTTGCTCTATGCACAAAAGCAATCAAAATCCTAACCTGGGTTCCTCCAAAACTGAAGCATAAAAGACACAAGTATAGTAAAATGCAGGAATAAAAAGCATAACATAGAAAAAATATTTATTTATTTTTTAGAATAAATACTGTATTACTGTATCTGTAAAATGTATAGCCTTAATATGTGGGGAAAAAATATATTGAATGCTCTAATGATATAAATAGTTGGTTTAAAAAAAATGAAGTGTATAGGCTATCCTGTCGTGTTCGTTTCTTCCCCTTACCTTGGAGTTCCCTGTCAGATTTGACCGGTGTGTTTTAACTTCTCTTATGAACACAAAAAACATGAATTATCATAAAAAAATGTTGCACCACCAGTCCACAATGTCTCAGACTGGTTCACATCTACGGTGAATATACAAAGTATAGACACTGGAAATGTATTCCAAAATGTGTGTCTCTCTTTGACGGGAACACCATAGGTTTTACAAATTTGACTAAACCACTCAAAACCCAATGAAAGGGATGATCAGTCATTATTCAAAATACTGTGGAGGATATCATAAGGCCTTGAGGCAATCAAATGTAAAACACAATATTTGATAGCCAAACACGACAGGACGGTTACTGTAGCCTACATTAGAATAAACGTACTGCAGGAAGCCTGTACTGTATGCCGAAACAGGCCAGTTTCATCCCAAAGGCCATAAGACTGTTTAACACCTGAACTTCTGAAAAATAATATTCATCTGTTTGCAACATAGCCTAGCCTAACCTATATATATATATATATCTATATATATATATATATCAATATTCCAATTACTTGTAAAGACTATTCTGCACTATTTCTATTCTATTTTATTTACACTATTATCTGTTTTATTGTGTTGCACTGTTTGAGGAGCCTGTGACCTAAGCATTTAATTGTCATAACTACTGTAGCTATGAAAAATTACAATCAAAGCCTTGAATCTTGAAATGTGGAATAAGAAGATTGCTCTATCTAGTGATATAAACAATGCATTTAAAAAAAAAAAATGGCTGTAATCAATCCAAACTAGAATCTAACTCGGGGTATATACTTCTGAAGGTGATGATGATGGGCAGCACCCCGGTGGCTCAGCTGCTGCTGCGGCACGGAGCGGACCCGTCGGTGAGGGACCGGAGCACCGGGAGCTCCCCGCTGCACGACGCGGCCCGGACCGGGTTTGTGGACACGGTGCGGCTGCTGGTGAAGAACCGGGCTGACCCGCAGGCCCGGGACAATAAAGACAACCGACCCGTCGACCTGGCCCGGCAGCACGGACACACGGAGGTGGAGGATTATCTTCAGTCTCTACCGGACACCGAGTGACGCTGGACGTTAATGAAGGGATACCGGGGCCTGGAGGGCCTTCTGTCTGAAACATAGGATGTTTTGCTGTAAAAGGTTTTTTTGTATTTATTTATCGGATGTTTTGTAGGTATTGTATTTTTAACGAAATCTTTGTCAATATGAGGCTGTCATGACAAATCAGTAAAATATGGTTGGCCATAATGTCTAATAATAGCTACACAAATTGGTTCAGATTTATTCTGCGTTGTAAAATAGAAATATTCAGAATATATAACTGTATAAGGTGAACAGTCTTCCTATAATATTTGTTCATGACATTGTATTTTTAAATTAAAATTAGTGTTGATTTTTGTCTAAAACGATATGAGATCATTTGAACATATGTCGACTATTTAACCAAAGCCATTCAAAATGTTTTGCACACCCAACATTAGTGTAACTAAAGCACTGTTTGTTCTGCAGACTCGGAGTGTCACTTCCTGTTTTTACAAAATGATATGCAGACCTCGCATTGTATGCACTTTAATAAAATGTCATTGTAAGTGTGTTAATGGTGCATATTAGAAGCAGCACTAATATGGTAATGTATCTTGTGTAAAGGATGGATTACAACAACAAAAAGGTACAAAAGAATAAATAACCACAAAAAAACGATTATTTTATTTTTATTATTCAGTTTCAAATTGTTTGAAAGTTCCACATTAGCTAGCTGACTTTCCTTAGATTTTATTCTTCTTAACATGGTTTTAGGAATATTGTCAGAGGGATCATAGCGAAGGCTTTTCCTGACACTGCTTGGTAAATATTAGGCTCATGATTGTTTGTCCTCAGGTGACCTCACAGTTTAACTTGTTAAAAACATCACCGATGGGAGTTCATTAATTTATCTTTAATGGAAAGTTTAAGACGTGATGATTACCAGAAGATAGTCAACTTAAAGCACCTTGGACTTCTGTAATAACATCTACAATGATTTCCTAATAAAATAAAATATAGTTGCACACCCAATGGGTCGCCGTTACGGTCTAATGCATTTCATACTTGCAGAAAGAACAAGGAACAGGAGGGGTAAACATTAAAAATACACAGACGTGACTAATACCGAAACCCAACAGGAATAATGTCAGGCAGTAAATAAAGTTGAAAGCATCATTCAACCTATAGATATTAACTTTAACTTCCAGGGCAATCAGCCTGTATCTTTACAATACATTTTGTTCATTATGTCAAACAGGAGGCTGTAAGGGCCCGGAAATTCCAATCTGAACTCTCTCTTCAGGAGGATATTAATGCACAATTACATCATATTTTAAATGTATTTTTCCCATTCATATTGACCTGTTTTAGCCAAGACTAAAATTATTTCGCCCTGTATTCCAATTCATATAGAATAAAAAAAAAAACTGTAAAACTTAAATGCAAATGGTAAGATGCTCTAAGTGAATTATTCTCTGTAGTTTTTATTGACCGGTTTTGTGCTGAATAATGCATTTATTTTATATAGAAAAGCAAACAAAGAGTAACAACAAAAGTTAGTAACTATCTTTAGATATTGTGCCGCGTGATGACATTTAGGAGCAGCCAATGCAGATTAGAGAAGAAAAAAAATAGGACACGGAAACATTTGTAAACTTTAACAAAAATTGCCAATTTCATTAGAAGCTTATTCCTACAATATAGGTCAAAGTCACTCAGTGTAAAAAATGAAGAGTCTTTAAACCCAGTTTATTTATGATAACTGGAAAACAGTTTGCATGTACAGTGCAGATCTTAGCTATAAATGTTTTGTCTATATTTATATTGGATGCTGCAGGTTTTGGATTCACAAGCTTCATGAACAGCAAACACAAATTAAAGTATACTCAACAAAAATATTAAAAAATTAAAATGTGCCCCTAAAAAAAAATATATTCCTAGCATTAGTAACAAGACAAAGTTTTGCTCAAAGTGTATTCAGGGATTTGAAATATAGGACTGGACTACAATAGGTTCAAAGTAGACTTTAAAATGAGTTGTAACCAAGGCAACAAAGTGCTAAAGTTGCAACGCATTAAAGCAATAGCAATAAAGACACAAACGGTTTACATGCAAATATATCATTTTGTTAATATTTGTGTATGTTCACCACCAAAAATATAAATCCACAAAGATTGTATATCTAGAATAATCTTTAGAAGACTTTAAATCTTTGTTGATCTTTCGTTTTTAAATGTGTCTCGTACCTTAACATGATGTAGGACTGACCGCAGTGACGACACTGATGCTTGTTCCGGAGAAAAAGGGTGGCCTGTGATTGAGTATGAGGTGGGGGGGGTTTTACTGGAGATTCATGAGTGTATTTTAGCTCAAGGAAAAACAATAAAACTCTAGCTGAAGACAGAGCACATGCAATAATTATGTGAGGCACTTTCTTGTGATTCACTGATGACAAACGGCAAGCAGAGTTGAGTCTGTGGTCGGTGGAGGGGTGGGTGGGGTCCGGGATCCTTTTTCTACCGTTTTCTGCACGCTCAGTGTTTGGGTAACATCACTGAAGACTGTGCCATTGTCTGTAAGAGAAAGAGCAAAACAGCCTTGTTTCCCCAAATACATCTCACAGATAAACAGAAACTATCATTACATTTCAATCCTGTGAGTTTCAGGTTAGTCTGAGGTAACAACAAAAAGGAAAAACAGCAGACAATTCGATTTTTTTAAAGCTTCATTAAAACAGATGTTTCTATTATCTTTACCGCCAATTAAAAATCAAATCTTTTATCAGAAGGGAGCTTTTTAGAAGTGTCGAGTGTGAATAATGCAAATAACAAAAAATCACTAACAATGTGTTGGAACGCTAGCCAATCAAATCGAGTGTTACGTGGGAAGGAACTTTAGGATTTTAGTCTTTGCAGACCATGTACATGCACAAAAACCTATGTAACACTACAGGAAAGGGAAAACCCCTAAAGCAGAATAGGGTCTCTTTAAATGATCAGTTTTAAAAATGTGCACCGGTAATCACACATTTATTATTTTTAGGGCTGTCAAACGATTACAATTTTTAATCAGATTAATCACAGCTTAAAAATTTATTAATCATGACTAATCACCATTCGAACTATGTCCAAAATATGCCATTTCTTTATGTATATTGTTGTGGGAATGGAAAGATAAATGAAAGAAGGCGGATATATCCATTTAACATACAGTATGTATGTTTATTATAACATTGTATGTTTATTATAACATTGTTCTGTGTTTCAAAATGAAAGACAGCCCACACACCTATCAATCATCAAACCGTGGGGTCTTATTTCATTACGTGTTGATTTCTATCAACACGTAATGTTGTATCGATGTATATAGAGATGTACTACAGCAAAAGTATTCTCCGTCGGGACTTCCTGCAACAACACCACGCCGTTATCTTGATTCTGATTGGCCAGAAGACATTATCAAAGATGTTCTATTGAGAAGACGATCACTACGTGACAAAAGTTCTCAAAACCGTTTCTAGTCTTCGGTATTTCCAGACAAGTGGCTACTGAAATCAATCTTACTAACTGCTGTCAGTGCAATATTCGGCGCGAGTTGGCGGACTTTATTTTGCTTACTTTTCATCATTTTTCATGGTGGGGTTAAGCCATTTCTTGGTATGGATGTAGCCTACCCGAGCGCTGTCACTGGTGGGATGTATGGGGCGAGCCATTCTGCTCATGCGTTAAATATTTTAACGCAATTAATTCAAAAAATTCATTACCGCCGTTAAAGCGATAATTTTGACAGCATTAATTATTTTGATTACCGCATAGTTTGAGTTAAGACTGTAATATAGTCGGGTGTATGTACCTTTTATGCTCAATGTTTTTAAACACAGATTTCAATATTAAGTCAAACCAGATGGATTTCATTGTGTTAAACCCTATGAAAAGCTGCAACACAGCACAATGGCAGTGTCTGAGTCATCGCACTCTTATGGCCCTACGACTTCTTGATAATGAACACCTTCATGACTGTCTACTGTTTTCAGAGATTCTGCCCTTTCCAAACACAGTGGAAAAACGTGGCTCTGTGATAGGCAGTATAAATGAGATGTCCTTTGGAGATAAGTCTGGTCAAATGTCAACAGACCCTATTTCACATCCTCTCTAAAGACATACAAAATGGGAATGAATCATAAAGTTGACAACTTACTTTCAAAGTCTTAATTGTGTGAGCCCAGTCCATCTGACTGATCTGAGGTATGGCAGTGAGCAGGATGCTGCTGGCCTTGTTGGCGTTCTCCTTCATCGTCTTCAGGACGTTGTCGACACAGACCTGTGACAAGGGAGGAAAAACTGACAGTTACTGACAGACATGCAAAGTCACTTCCTTTAAATGTCAATCACTTTATATTTCCAGGTTAAAAATGTACTTTGACATTAGCAATTTTGAAATTTAGCAATTTTGACATTAGCAATTTTGAAGGTAAATGGAACCATCGCATTGTAAATAACCTTGTAAATAAAATGTTAATAGACATGTATGGCAGCAATGCATGATGGAAGAAAGAGACTGATACAATTACATGCGGTTACCATTTCGAAATATCCAATTTAATTTTTTTTAATCGGCAAATAATTACATTTTAGATGTAAACCCGATTGTGAACAACTTTATGTAAATATCTTTATGGCACTGCCGTAATGCTTTAAATGAAGGCAAGGCAATGGAGAAGATCAGTATATTGTTTTTCTGGCAGCCAGCTGTGCCCTTTACTCCAATGAAGTATTACATGGGTTTAATTTTGTAATTGAGTGTTGAGCCATTTCACCTGACATTTCTAAGACACTGGTAATCATCACATTGTTCACCTGACTAACATTGTGACAAGAAGAAGAGGGAAATGCTTTTGAAAATGTTGCAATAAGTCAGCTATTTTTTTATCTTCTGTAATGACGTAAGGAAACTGAGGCCTCAGTGAAATGTTCACGCTGAAATACAGAAAGGTCTGCATGAAAAGAAGCGATACGACCAGCATTACTCATCAATACAGTGTACAGTACATTAAGTCACAACATCACTTCTGTTTCCTGCTGGTGTTTTCTCCTGCGACCTCGATTAACCCCCCTCTTTAGTGCCTTGTGTTTATATCACAGTCAATGACTAGGCTCATGATTTTGTGGTATTTGCAGGAGGAAGACAGTGCAGCGGATGACTCAGAGTGACTCAACCTCCTCTGGCAGGGCTTCCACCGGAGGCTGGAAGGAAAGCAGACTGAGGCAGGAGGTGGTAGGAGGCTAGGAAGGAGCGAAGAGGGAGGGATGAGGGTAGTGTTTTCGGGGGATGGGGGGCGGGAGAGGTGTGTTGTTGTCTGAGCGTGTTCGGCAATCCGTGATGTATGGTGGGTGGGCGGCGGAAGGATGTGTGTGTGAGAGCGTTCGGCAACCGGAGGGGGAAAGAGGTCAGCTGCAGGAACCTCGGAAGTGGAGTTGTGAGTTTGGCTGGATCTGTGTCAAATAGCCCGAAACCGCCCACACGCCGTATATCAACCGGCACTATCAGAGTCTGACAGAGGGGAGGGGGGGGGGGGCCAATCAGGAGCCAAAAACAAGCCACACGTACTGCAGTCGGCCTACAGAGCACAGACGGTGTCGAGATTTCCATCAAACCAATACAAATTACCCGACGCACCATCTGGGTCTGAGAGTCAAATGTTGTTCTTTATGATGTAAACATATTAGTGATTTACTAAACTTTAGTCTCCTACCTACAATTGAACAGTCTTCAAACAGCCACCCAATGTTTGACTATTCAATATACTTATATGAAAACCTCAATGCTGCTCAGCAGCAGCAAAACCTGAAGAGGAGCTAATGCCACCCGAAACGCTGCGTTTCCTGCTAACAAGGAAGACACGCGATCACTGCGTTGGAAACAGAAAATTAAGGACGCCTTTTTGTCACATGCACAACTGAGAAAATCTTCCCAGTCGCAGGAAGGAAAGGGGAAAAAAACAAGCGAGTGATTGTATTTCATAAAGCACAGTGATTCCAATATTCAGTACCTAATCAGGCCTCGAGAGAGAGCAACCAAAGGTGGGTTCATAGTAAGAGAGAAGACTGAAAAGGGGTTTTGGTTTGGCTAATCATCTTTTTTTTATAGATAATGAATGATCCCTTTGTTATCATTTCACACATGTGTCTGTGAGAGAGAAAATGAATATAACAATCACTTTTCTAGTCACAGATAAAATGGGAATCACTGGATAAAGTTCATCAAAGATTATTTTAATTAACCGTTTGGCATCTGTCTGGGACTAGAATACACATAGATACCTTTATTAGAATAGAAGTATACTTATTAAAAATCCTCTTTCTATCGACAAACCATATACACAGTACAGCACACAGTCAAATGTAGACCCATTCAACGACCCATCCTAGTAATAAGGAGCCAGTTTTTTGCAAATGCATAATACAACTCTTAATATTTATTATATTCATTTTCATGTGTTTTTTGTCGTGGTTGTAATTGTTTCTAGGAGTTGCAACGAACACAAAGGGAGGTTTCCAAAAAAGTATAAACTAACTAAAGCTTGTGTCACATTCTTGCCTAATGTCTGAATCAAACAAGGCGTAAGCAAGAACACACACACATAATAAAACAGGTCTGCGCTCCCTAACATCCAGCACGCCACTCACCGCCTCCTCATGCTCCTTTACCAACAGTCGTAGTCCGTATGCCATGGCGCGATGCTGGCATGAGCCACAAGCCCGCCTCCTTGGCCAGGACGACCTCGGGCCCACCGTGGTCATGTTGATGACGTCGGCGCCCCACTGCGCGGAAACATGGGAGGCTCTCGGCCCGCGAGGAGAAGCGCGGGCCCTCGATGCTCAGCATGGTCC